CCCGCGGAACTCCCGCCGGCCGTCCGGCGCTCTCCCGGAGGCGCGCCCGAGCCGCCGCGGCCGCCACCAACATGGCCGAGACGAGCGAGGAGGTGGCGGTGCTGGTGCAGCGGGTAGTGAAGGACATCACCAACGCCTTCAGGAGGAATCCGCACATGTGAGTCGGGCGCCGGCGGCGCCGCCGCCGCCGCCTCGGTCGCCCCCGGGGGTCTTCGGGGGCGGACAGGGGCGGAGCCGAGCCGCGAGCTGATATCTAAGGGGCAGGTCCCGGCCCGCGCGCCCCTCGCCGGAGGGGACGGAGCGAGGTCGGGGCCGGAGTGTTGGCGGCCGCCGCAGGGCCCGCTTGCCGCTACCGGAACGCGGTCGCGGGCGAGTCCCTAGAAGTGACCCCGGAAAATCAAAACGGAGCGACTTTTTTCGCCCTCCTTCTCACCCCTTCCCTGGGAGTTCTTGCAACTCGAAGGACTTCACCCGTGTGTCCACATCCTGCATCCGCGTAAGGTACACGGGCACACACAATGTGGCTCTGTAGATGCTTTGTAAATACAAACTCTTTGAGGTTCGTCCCGGACCGATGGTAAGGGCGGGGGGGGGGGGGGGCAGTGTCCCCGATCGTCTTCTTTTCAGTGGACCAGAAAACCCTCAGCTTCCTAGCCAAAGGTAGTTTGAGGCTGCTTTTGACTTTCGCCTCACTTGTCCCAAGGTTGTGGAAGGACTCGGATGAAACATCCTGCTTTGAAGGTGATCAGGGCATTTTCAGGAGTGTAGCTTCGGTAGGTTTCGGATGGGTCTGGTGTAAAGCGGATGAAAACTTGACACTTTGTAGCGTTAGCCGATTCATAGTTACAGGGAACATAGTCACTCTGTTCTTATCCTGACACTGCTGCCCTCTTTAAGTAGGACACCACAGGGCTGACACATGTATCGTTCCCTCCTTCCTTTTCATGGTACTTGGAGTACTCTGGGAAGATACTAGAAGACACTGTATTCTTTCTGACACTTCTGCTTTCATGTAACGAGCGAAAAAGGGAGCTAATAAAAGAAATGTCTACAGTATACAGAAGAGTCGGGAGAAGCAAGAGTGTTTAATTACCACCCTTCTCTCGTTGCCCCCTCCCCTACCAAAAGAAAGAGTCATGGAATCCAGTTTTATATTACTGTATTTTCACTTTTTCTAATTGTGGGGTTTTTCTTTTAATATTTTATTTTATTTCTTTTAAGTTTATTTATTTTGAGAGAGACAGAGAGAGAGCACACATACGCATGAGTTGGGGAGGGGGCAGAGAGAGAGGGTGAGAGAGAGAGAATCCACAGCAGGCTCCACACTGTCAGCGCAGAGGCTAGTCCGGGACTTGAACCTATGAACCATGAGATCGTGACCTGAGCTGAAACCAAGAGTTGGGTGCTTAACCCGCTGAGCCACCCAGGCTCCCCTAATAATTTATTTTTTAAACTGGGACACATGAATACTTACTCTTTTTAAGCCTTTTAAGCCCAACACCCTTAAGCTTTTCTGCCTAAAGAAGGTAGCAGACCTACATCTAAATGATGCTTCTAGAAATTAAGAAGCCCTCAGATGTCTTGCTCCCTTGTGGCACACAATTGGAGACCGTAACAGCGCCTCATTAAAAACAAAAGGCTGCTGGCCTCAGAACGCACCTGCTGCCTCTGACAGCGTCCACTTCCTTTCCCCTTGTGACTGCTGCCTTTTTTTGAGGGAGTGTTGGGAATGATATCCTGGCAGTCACCATAGTGGGTCCTGGGTCTTCTGAAGAATGCTTTGATGCCTTGTATATCAGTCTTTCAGTCCCTTTTTGTGAATGAGAGCTTGGGTGTAAATAAGAGACAACCTCAAAAAAAAAAAAAAAAGTTGGATAAGTGAAGGGCCTCTTTTCTCATCAATGATGTTTTTCTTGAAGAAATAGCAGAGATTAGAAAGAAGTCTAACAAGTACAGTAGTTTCTCTTCTCTGCGGTAGATTTAAAAAGCACATCAGTGTTTTATATTTGAAGAAACTGAGATTGAGTGTTCACTGGTTTGGTGGATTGAGACAGTGCAGTTTGGAGCACATCTCGTTCTTCTGGGTCCTATTTACTGAAACTCATTAAGGACTTTTATGCCCCCCAATCTTATTTTTAATGGTGAAATCTCATTAATATGCTTTCTATCAGTGCCAGATTTAATATTATCAATAAACACTTAGATCATTCAAGATTTAATAGTTTGAAATAAGTTGAGCATTTGAAATAATTTGAAATGATGATACATAGTATAGGCCTGAAGAATTGAAATAACTCATTGCTTAATATTAATCCTCAGCTATTTTTTAGTATATGTTTCCTACACTAATGATATTTTCAGTAGTATTACTGCGCAGATTCTTTCAGAATGTTTGATTTGGATTTTTCAAAATTGCCTGTACTTCCTGTAATCTATCCCTCTTACTTCCAAAATAAACAGGCTGTATTTCTGGTTAAAGGGGGGGGGGGAGGGGAGGGGGGAAGGCATTGTTTTATCTTGAAAGTTAGTACCTAACTATATTTTTCCGTATTACCAAGAAAAGTTTTTTCTCTTTACTTTCTGTTTTCTTTTTTCTTCAAACACAAGATAGTTTGTAATTTTATTCGACAACATCCACTCCATTAAACATACTGACTTTGTTTCTGTAAGAATGCTTCCTAGGAGGAGTCGAACATGCATTGGTTAAGATGTAGGTTTTGTTACGGTTGGATGTGGATAGGTTACCCCCTGGTAACCTCAGTTTCCTCTTGATTTGGCGAGGTTGATGAGAACACGGGAAAATCACCTCACGCTGTGTCTGGCCCTTATCTGCCACTTGGTAGATATTAGATTTAACCTGAATTTCCGTATTCCTCAGAAAACTGTACTGGCCAACTGAATGATGAATGTGAGGTACTTCATAAACTGAAAAATACCATAGAAATGTTATTTGTATGGTTGACTCTTAGAGAATACCACTGGAAAACAGCTGAAGGCTTGACCCAGGGACTAACAATAGTTTAAATTTTTTTTTCAACGTTTATTTATTTTTGGGACAGAGAGAGACAGAGCATGAATGGGGGAGGGGCAGAGAGAGAGGGAGACACAGAATCGGAAACAGGCTCCAGGCTCCGAGCCATCAGCCCAGAGCCCGATGCGGGGCTCGAACTCACGGACCGCGAGATCGTGACCTGGCTGAAGTCGGACGCTTAACCGACTGCGCCACCCAGGCGCCCCATAACAATAGTTTAATGTATAGACCTTTGCTAACGTGGAAGACAGATGTTTATGGTGTAATTAGGGTCATGTCAAAGGTTTCTTATCTACTGAGTTATTTTTTTTTATTAATCTTTAAAATATTTATTGAACTCTCACTGTTTATGAGATGCTGTAGGTAGTATCCTCATGGTATAGATAGGAAGAAGTATAAAATATAGTTCTCATACTCAAGGCACAGAAATATCTATGATGGTGGAATTGCCCCTTTTCTGTGCTGTCCAGTGTGGTAGTCACTAGCCATGTGTAACTATAAAATGTTTCAAATGTGGCTAATGTGCATGAGGAACTGAATTTTAAATGGTATTTAATGTCGTTTGACTTACCCATGGGTCGTATGTGCTCAGTGACCACTGTATTGCACAATGTAGCTCTAGATAGAGACGAACCCCCACCTGCGTGAATAGTAAATTGGGATTTACGGCAGAGCAGTTAGTGGTAAAGGCTGAGCTAGCAGCATGGGGAGCAAGTGCTGTGTGAGTGTATTAGACATAGAAGGAAGGCTTCGTATGTCTAGGCCAAGGGCCTTAGGGGAGGTGGGCTTTGAACTGAACTTTGAAGGCTGGTAGGATTTACAGTTTCAGAGAGGGAGCCACCTCCACATGGAACTGGAAATTAACCTGAAGCAGCAAGATGTGATAGAAAAGATACAGTAGAGTCAAATTATGGAAGTCCTTGACTTAATTTCTTGCATTCCATGTATGCATTCAGCAAAAGAGCACCTGTATTTCACAGATAGAATTCCAGCCCCTGGGTGTGCAGGTCTAGGAGTGGGGTGAAGACTGGTGGACATATCACACATGGTCCTTAGCCCAGTGGAACAAATCACACAGATTATGGGAAGAGCCTGAAAGAAGAAGTATATTTGAAAGAATAATAACAGAGGGGACTAATTTATATTTGAAGCTCAAGATAGTTCTTTTGAGGAAATAGCAATTAAATTGAGACATGAGGGATAGATAAGAGCTGGGTCAGGGAAAATACACTGCATCGGCAGTGGGGAGGCCCCAGTGGAAATTTTTGAGTAATGGAGTAGTAAGGAAAGGCAAATCTGTAAGTTGAGCTGAAGAGTAGGAAACCACAATCCTAATTGTCTTTTTACACTTGATTTTTATATGTTTATTTAAATAATAGTATAGTTGTAAAAGTTTGAATTTGAATCTTGGCTTGTCAGTTAGTACCTGGGTAGACTTAGACAAGACTGTTTATAAAGAAGGGTTAAAATTTCTGCTTTATGAGATTATTGTATGAAACAAATGAAATAGTTTATGTAAAACCAAACACAGAGCAGTACACATAATGAACACTCAATAAACAATAACAATTTATGTAGCTGTTTTAAAAATAAGTCCAGTAAGTGATATGTGAAATTAGTACTCTTTAGAATTGAGAAAGCCTATGAAGTTTCTGAAACATCTTGATTTAATCTCTGGTAGTTTTAATTGTCTATATGAAAGGGTTAGCTATTTCACTAACTCTCCTATTTCGTCATTTAGGAAGGATTTCCAGGGTAAAGAAATAACAAAATGACTATTGGATTAAGAAGATTTGTACCGTTTACAGAATCCTTGGGCTTGTTTTCTGTGTGGTCGCTCCATGTTACAGAATCAGTTTAGTATTTGGGGACCGTTCTTCCCACATAAAAGGGAAACTGGGTGATACTACTTTTGAAAATAATATGTGGGCCTACTCTAATTGAGGGTGTTTCTAAAAAGTGCAGACAAGAGAAGCTGTCCAAACATCAGGAACAAAGTCAGTGTCCGTGTTATATGAACCTTGAACTTCATCTGGAAGCCAGTGGATCCTCATTGTGAAGTGAAGCACTTAGAAAGCTGCACCATGCTGTGGATGATCTTTTCAAGTAAATATGTTGGTACATTCCATTTTGCTCTTTTTTTGGAGCAGCTTTCGAAGGTAACCTAAAAAGTGAGCTTCGTTGTATCTCTTTAGTATTAGAACTTTTTCACCATTCCAAACCTTCATGTCTTTAAAAATCCTATGACGTTGGTTACACAGGTGTTGAGTGTGCTTGTTAAACACCAGGAATCTAAATTGCCAGAAACCTGAAAAAGACTGGAATTTGGTGGTGGTGAAAGAGTCAGAGATTTCTCTTATAACATTATTTCACAAAGAAGTAACTGGAGTTGTATTTAATATTTATAGCACATTCATTGCAACCATTTATATTAATATATAAAAATTAATTATGTAGGAAAATGTTTAATGTGAACTGTTGTTTTTAAAGAGGATTATAGGAGAGTATGCCCACTGTAATCCCACTTCTGTGAAACATTTAGAAAAAAAGGATGTATTCCCAAACAGTAGTGTAGAGGGATGACAAAAGACTTTTAGTTTATTTTTTGCCCCCAAATGTTCTAACTTTTCTTGAGTATGAAATTAGAATTTAAATAGCCAGAAATCTTCCCAGAAATCTGGAAGGAATTAATCTAAATTCTGCCTGCTTTCACTGATGTTTTTATCATTAGCATCATGGGTTCTGGGCTAACTATTAAGAGATCCAGATTTTTAACTTAGCATTAGCAATGTGACCTTGGGTGATCATCTTAACCTCAGTGGACCTCAGTTTCCTTGTCTGAAAAAATGAGATACTGGGGGAATGAGGTCCCTTCCAATTTTAAAATTATTCTGGAATCCTATTCCAAATTGTCTGAAAAAAAAAGAAGTGGACTATGACTTCAGGGACTCAGCATAGAAGCAGTCTGAAGTCAAACACACTGTTACTTGGAAGCTTACTGACCTACCTATCTTTCTAAAGTACATGTTATATTTTTAGAAAGCAGCAAAGCACTGTATTTTAGGGTCAAATCATGACAAAGGCTTAACTTTTTTGCTTCAGCTTCCCATCTGTTAATCGAGTAACTTTTCTCTTTGGCCTCAGACTCTACTGAATTAAAGATAATACACTTCATCTTTGCCTGTCACTTTATAGCTTACCACATACTTTACCTTGTGTTTGCTTTTCCTAGCAGGCGTTGTTATTCCTGTATTGCAGATAAGGGTACTGATGACCAGTGACTTGCCACATTCACATTGGACTGTTAGAGGTAGACCAGAGGGTAGCGAGAACCCTGGACCTTGGAAGATTGAGTGCTTTTGCTACCTCTCTTTTAATGTTCGCTCCCCCGATGTAGCCATTTTCATTCTCCTTACATGAGAATAACTGTCAGGTTTCTCAGTCAGAATTTGAAAGCTGAATGAGACCTAGCAGTCCATTTCCCTTAGAGATGTAATGCAATTCCACCATTTTACAAATGAGGAAAAGTGAGGTCCGTAGAGGCCAAATGAAAACTAGGACTTAGGCCCTCTGCATTGGAAGGAAATCAGGGACACCTGAGTGGCTCAGTCGATTGAGTGTCTGACTTTGGCTCGGGTCATGATATTGGGGTTTGTGAGTTCGAGCCCTGCGTCTTCGGGCTCTGTGCTGACAGCTCAGAGCCTGGAGCCTGCTTCGCATTCTGGGTCTCTCCATCTCTCGGCCCCTCCCCTGCTCATGTTCTGCCTCTCTCTGTCTCTCAAAAATAAATCAATGTCAAAAAAAATTTTTTTAAAAAGAAGGAAATCAGATATAATGTTCTTTTGGAGAGTCAAGAAGTGATATTCTTTGAAAACGATTGATTTGAATGTTATTCCTCAAGTTCACAGTAACCAGCCTTTCGGCGGCAGTTACCGTGCGTCTGCAGTATCAGGGCATTCTTGTTTTTAAAAATTATTTCCTGGGAGAATGGTACCCAACTAAAGAAGTGTGTTTTTTTATTTGTGCAAATGGCTCTGTCCTTTCATTTAGGTACCGGATTATTAATTGGGCATTTTACTTTTGGTATAAATAATGAGCAAGGCAGGTTTTTACATGGCGAATTTAACCACCCCCCCCCAAATGTACCCAGAATACAGGATTCTTTTATTCCTGTTACTTGGCATTTGTACTGTTGACTTCTGCAGTTCTTTGAAGTGTTGTAAGTGGTTATTAGATCTCAGAGATCAGACTTCCTTAAAATAATGATGATGAGTTTATTTTGTTTTACTGTAATTCTAGTTTAATTTTTAAATGTTCTACTTTATATAGTAAAACCTGAAAACCAGAAAATGCCGGAGATTCAGCCACATATTAGGGATAGCTCTGGATGTGGCTAGTTATCCTAATAGCGGATTAGGTAGATTTTACATTAACCAAACACAAATGCAAAAACGTTTTTGAATACTGGATGAGGAGGGTCAGGTGTGCTCTCAGCATTGCTTTAGTTCTTCTCACAGCACTTTCTTTATACCACTGGAATGGCACAGTGGTAACATTTTATTATAGATATTGATACCACTTCCATCAAAACTGTCAGCCCTATGAAGTCTGGGTCCACCTTGTTTTATTCATTTTTGCATTTTCAGAACCTAACACAGTACCCAGTATCAGAAAATGTTTAAATAGTTCCGACGTCGTAAATCAGCACACTTCTGAATCAACTGGGCCAGTGGTCAGGACAAAAAAAGCCTTAGGTCTCAAAATCTACCTTAAGTTAAATCATCTTGAAAGAATGGTTAGTAACTTAACCCGTAGAGTACCCTTGTTTCTTGAGGTATCCCTCTGTCCTTAAGGAAGCGATCAGTAGAAAGTAGTGTACCTCTGTGCTCTGCTCTCCGGTTTAGAGTTTCCAGGAAGGATTTTATTTTAGTTCCATAGCCTCCCGCCAGTTTAACAAAAAAAGAGGGCTTTTCTTATAACCTGTAATTGAACATGTTTCCCCCTCTTGCATCTATCATACTACTCTGTTCTTGGTCGGGGAATCCCAGGGACATAATAGATAATGTCATACATAAGCTCTGAAAACCAGTTTTCTATTTTTTTTAATGTAGCCAGTTATCATAACTTGTTTATAGTTGAAAGGCATGTGCAGGTTTTGCAAAACCATTTTTATGCTTGCTGGTTCATTTCCTATGTAAGTCAGCGGCTGTACATTCTGTTTATTAAATCTCCACCTCAAATGTAAATTTTCAACTAAGTTGAAGTTGTTTGAAAGAAGATGCCACCTTAAATGCAAATGATCAGATTCTAAAATGTATTTTCTGTTTCAGCAGCATTTATCAGTGTGTGTTTATTTTTTTTTAATAACGTATAAAAGATCATAAGAGGCCCACAGTCTCATTGACAAGATAACGTCTTTTGATAATTTGTTTCTGCTCATATATTATTAGGCAACCCACAAGTACATTTGTTGACATTTTTAAAAAATAGAAATGATACATTCAAATGATTAGGAAATTTAAACTGTATAAAAATAAAATTCTTTGTCCCCAAATTTCTTGGGATTCTTCTTCTAAAAAGATATATATATAAAAGGCTTTGTGCCATACACTGTTGGGCATTTTGCTCTTCTTCTGGTTTCACAGATCTTGGCATCCTTTCCAAACCAGTGTATGCCAGTCTGCCTCATTTTTGTACATCTCTACCACATGGATAAGCCACATTCTTCTGTCTTATGTTGACACAATTTAGATTGTTTGCAATTGTGTTGCAATGTTGCAATAAACATCCCATTGATATACTTTGGCCTAGGATAACTTCTGAGCAGTGGAATCACTGGGGGTCAAGAGTATGTGCAGTTTAAAATTTTGAAAGACGTTTTCATATTTCCATCTAAAGATTAGACCAGTTTTCATTTCTGTCGATGGGGAGTCAGCATACTAATTTTCCTGTACTATAGTCTGTATTAAAAACTTTTTTTTTTTAGTGCCTACTAATCCAGCAAGTGAGCTAAATACTATTTTTAAGAGAGGGAAATATGTTGCTTTTCTTTTTAATACTCTGGAGGATTTGAAAAGCTAGCAGTCTTATCTTTAATTCTTCTTTATGTTTTACATATTCAGAGATGAGATTGGTCTGATCCCATGTCCTGAAGCAAGGTATAACCGGAGTCCCATAGTCCTGGTAGAAAACAAACTTGGTGTGGAAAGCTGGTGTGTCAAGTTCCTCCTACCGTATGTCCACAACAAGCTCCTTTTGTACAGAACAAGAAAGCAATGGCTAAACAAAGATGGTAAGTATGAACTCTGTCCTCTTCTTTTGTTTTTTAGAAACAGCATGGAATACCAGGCGAAGAACCCTTTTTGGGTGTTGGCATTCCTAGATTTTGGTTCTGGCTCTTTCCTTCACTGCCTGGGCAGCAGCTTAACCTCTCTGTCAAATGAGGAGTTTGGACCCATCAGTAGTTTTCAAATGTTGCATCGAAAGTGCTACAGGACTCTGGGCCACCTACTGCAACCTGGGCAGTAAATCAGAGGAGTTCTGATTTCACCTGTTTATACATCAGGGCTGTTTGTAAAATTTTATTTGAAGAAAACATCCTGTGGTAAAGAAGTTTGAAAAGTACTAAGGAAGACTCTAGTACAAGCTCAGGTTCTCGGGTGGTAATCCTTTAGTAACTCTGTGAGCACTAGAACTCATTTTGGTGGCAGACCAAATGAGATAACGGAGGTGTGTTGGTGGTAGTTATACTGTGAACCGGCTCAGTGATTTATGGAGGTGCTCTTGTGCTTTGAATCCCATTTGAGCTTCGGCCCTCTGTATCCTGTTCTTGTGCTGATAGAAGCAAAAGAAAACGGTCCCAGAATTCACTTCTTTTGCTCCTCTGAGACAGTTCTTTGCTGCATGGGACACTCTCTGTTCATCCTGCCTGGTCTCTTTTCCTAGCTTTCCCCCATATGTGACATTAAGCCTCCATGTGCACAAATCCCCTTTACTTTTTAGGTTTAAAAAAAAAAAAAGAGTCATCCAAGACCGTGTTCTCGACTGTTTTTATGAAGCTGCCCCTTTCTGTATAGAGTGGTACCTTCCCCTTTCCAATACAGCGGTACCTTCAGAAGTGCCCAATACGCCTGGAGGCTAATTTTGAATAAGAACTTTGTTTCCTGGAGAATTTTAATTACCAGCTTGGTAGCCATTACCATGAGCCTACTCATACCAGAGGCTCTTCTAAGTACTATGGGGATAAAGAGGTGAGTAATACATGTTCCCTTTACGCAAGAAGCTTACAGTCGGGTGAAAAACAGCCTCCTTGTGGAATGTTGCCAAAGGTATGACATACTGATTTCCTTGTATTCCTCTCAGCCTCATCCTTAAAGGACTGTCCCAATAGCCCTTTTCTCTGTTTAGACCAATAGAAAAGGAATCTGATTTGAAGATTTAATGTGAAATAGTTCGAGTTTTCTTGTGTTGACTCAATTAGTCCTCTGATACATTTTTCTTATTTTTAAGGCTCTGCCTAAGTTTATGGCATAGTTGAGGTTTGTGGCATAAGCGTAATGGTCTGAGTTCAGGCATAAATTGAAAGGTAAGGGTATTTATCAGTTGTTGGGCCCTATTTCATTCTGCTTTCCATCGCCCTAAGTAGATGGATAGCATGGTTATGAAACCTGTGGTAGCTTTCAGTAACATTAAGGTACAGAATAACACCATGTGAATCCATCCGGTTATTTTTTGCCAAACACAGCTGTATTGTGTATGTTCTGACAAGCAAAAATGTATAATCAAGCCAATACATAGCTAGCTTGGGGAGAGGGGAGACAGAATGATGCTCGTGTGGTGGAGAAGAAGCAGTCTGAATTTTGAAATGCCAAAGGCTTCAGTTAATGTTGTTTCAGATCATTAGTTTTTGCCGATTCATGTGTGCTGGCCCAGCCTGCCGTCTCCCTGGAGCCTTCCAGGTCCTTCTCTCCGTCTCCCTGTGTCTTGTCTCTCAGACACTGTTGTACTGCGGGCTTTGCCACATCTCCTCATGAAGTGAGGAAAGGTCCAAGAGGACCCAGGCAGAATCAAATGGTTAAGCTCATCACACGAATAGCTAGCGTCTAACCTTCAAATTCTGGTGCAACTGTGCATGAGAACAGAACCAACATGACATTATCCTCACCCAGATCCTCGTGGAAACAGTTTTGAATTTCACTTTTTTGGTGGGTGGTGACAGCATAGTGTAGTGTGGTATCACACAGTACTCAGGTTGTATATTGTGTTAAGAATAAAAATATGGAAGTGAATTTCTGATAGGACAGGAAAAGATACCTAGTAATGCTGACTACCAGAGAATTCTACCAAACTTGTCAACTGAAGCAGTTACTACACAGAGGTGAGTCTTGCTAAAAAAAAAAAAAAAAAAAAAAAAAAGTAAAAAATGCTAGGAAAAATCAGTTATTTCGTGAAAATGCTGTACCTTTAAAACTGTTTTTGTAGAAAACATACATAAAAAGCACCAAGTGAAGAAAGCTGAAAGAATTTCAGAAATGTCAGTATCTGTGTGAGTGATCAAGCCCAGATCCTAGGCATCGCTGGGGAATGTATTCTGCAACTGGAGGTGACCTTTATTCTTGGGATAAATTTTTTCTTTTTAACCAAAGTGAATTCATGCTCTCATTCTTGTGCTGAATTCCTTAAATGTTTGCAAAGCACCTGTACTGGTTAGAGTTCTCTGAAGAAACCACCAGGATATGTTATATATAGAGAGAGATTAATTATGACAAATTAGCTGATAGGATTATGGAGGCTGAGAAGTCCCGCAGTCTGCTTTCTTCAAGCCGGACACCCAGGAAAGCCAGTGGTAAAATTTAGTTTGGGTCAGAAGGCCTCAGATCCAGGGGAGCCAGTGGTTTTAAATGCCAGTCCAAAGGCCAGAGGAGATTCGGTGATGTTCCAGCTCAAGCAGACAGGAAGCGAAAAGACAGGACACTAAATACCTCTGAACAGATTGTATGATGTCACCCACATTGGAAAGGGCAGTCTACTTGATGGAGCCTACCAATTTAAATGCTAAACACCCTCACAGACGCTCAGAAATAATGTTTAAGAGCATTTAACGTGGGCACCCTGTAGCCAGTCGGGTTTAACATTAACACCAGAATGAGCCATCACAGCCTCCCTGTTAATTAGTGCCGGTTTTTAAAAGTCTGCTGCAGTAGTAGCCATATTTGGTCTGGGAGAGGAACAATACTGTAATTCTGATTTTTGAGAAATCTGTGACAGAAACAAAAAGGAAGAGAGAAGTCCCGGCGTTGTGACCGAGTAGAGCTCAGTCCCGCAGTGTGTGTCCAAGGTTGCCCATCCGTCATTTTCCTGTGCTGCTCCCTCTTTCTCACGGCCTCTACCCAGAGCCGCACTCTCTCTTCAACAGCCATCTTCCGTTCTTCGTGTCTGTCTTCTTGTCTGGACAGATGTAATTATCTCATAGCTGGTCTACCCTGTGTTCAGTCCCTTCTTCTATAATCCATGTTCATGACACCACTAGCCAGTTGTTTCAAACGATACTTCCCAGCAGCACTTCTTAGAGACACAGTTTGAGGGATGCTTGTCTGAAGTACAGATCTGTGCATCTTCTTTCATGACACGTATGGGTGTCAAGGTGGAGTTCAAACTCCGTGGTGTGGTGTTCAAGGGCATTCACAATCTGTCCCCAGCCTCCATCCCCAGCCTTTTTCCTCTGCTTTACATCCAGCATCGGAGGGTGTAGGTTTGCAGCCCCCAGGCTGAGGCCAGCCCGCAGATAGATTTTGTTTCCGCCTATAGGATGTTTTTTTCAACTATTTTTCATCTGTTGGATAAACGTTTAAATTCAAGATGAACTTTTAAAGTTAAGATGGAAATCTGGATTTGTTTTCACTTGAAAAAGCAGGTACATAAGTTTCTGCACAGCAACAATTGGCCGGGGCTCATAGCCTCTGCTTTCTCGTGACTGACTCAGCCTGTTCCACTTTGCTACAGCCTCCTCCTGTCCATCAGACACGGAGGCAGAGTGTCGACTGCTCCTTATCATCAGGTTTGCTTTGCTCTTTTTTTTGACATTCACTCAAACCCTAGAAGCATTAGAATTTGCAGCCATTTGCCATACCTTCCAGCCACAACAGACACTGTTCCATTCTCGGACTTTGCTGTGCACCACTGCCTTATTTCCATGCCTTTGCTGAGGCCAGCTTCATGTCTTATGTTGTCACCGTTGTTGTGGTGCGAACACACACCCACACACAGCACACACTTGTGAAGGCTGTTTCACTGCTCCAGGATGTGGTAATTACTTCTCTGCACTCCCCTGGGGGTCTTTATTCAGACTGCTTGCATAGTAGCACTTACCACACTTCATTGTCGTTGATTATTTAAAACATTTTCCCCAGGTAGATTGTGAGTTTGTAAGAAAGAGGGATTATGGCTTGTCTGTCTTTATATACTCAGCACCATTGTGTGTTCAACAGACATTTGTCAAATAAGTAACAAGAGTTTGGTAAGAGAGAGGTTTTAACTCAGTCTGGCTATCGATTCACTGATTGTATTCTGTAATAACAGGGCCTTTCTGGTGTTTACCACATAGCTTTATCTCAAGTGTCTCTTCTTGTGGTAACCTGAAGGTATTTTGGAGGAAGAGATTAGCCCACCTAGTTGGCCTTGGATTTATTTCTAGATGCATGAAAACATATCTCTGTCAGAGACCGTCGTCCATTGCAGCAACCATTACCAGGTGACTCCTGGCTTGGGGCCATTTCTGGAATGCCATTGTGACAGAAAGAATATTGATTTTTCTCTGACTTTTCTGTAGTATCCCTTTGTCCTCTCCTTGTCACAGTTGAAATTTAGCTATTTTTCTGTGTATAGTATGTCCCGATTCATTTTCTCCTTGTGATGTGATGTTGAGTTAGACGTGTATCAGAGTGTGTGTAACAAAGGAACATTCATTTGTTCCTTTGTTACACACACTCTGATACATGTTCTGGTATTTGGAGAGAGATCTTGGGTGATTTCAAGAGACCATGGGGATATCAGTAGTTCACATCTGCTGGGTAACAAAGAATATGGTATATGGGGCACCTGGGTGGCCCAGTTGGTTGGATGTCTGACTATTGATTTTGGCTCAGGTCATGATCCCAGGTTCGTGGGATCGAGCTCCACATTGGGCTCCATGCTGAGCATGGAGCCTGCTTGAGATTCTCTCCCCTTCTGCCCATCTCCTCCTCCTCCTCTTTCCTCCTCCTCTCTCTCTTTAAAATTAAAAAAAAAAAAAAA